GTCTTCTTTTGCCTGGGCAGAGCAGAGTCTGGTCACAGCTAGTGATGAAACTTGGGAAACTGAAACGTGTTAGGCCAGACCAGGCAGGCTTTGCTGCAGAAATTCTTGCCGTTTAGCTCCATCTTCTTGCTAAGTCTCCATGTAGACCACGCAGGGCAGTGGAGCTCGTGGGAAACCGGCGGGGCTGGCTCTCACAAGTGGACTTGTAAATGCAAAGTCTCCCGCTTTATCAGCATCACACTTATCTGAAGATCTTGTAGAAAACGCAGATCCTCAGGACCAGCACCATGGGGTTCCTACAGACTGGGCATTCTGGGCCTCAGAGTCGTGTCGGGGTGGGGACAGAGGAGAGCTGATGGATTCTCCCCAGGGATAAAATGGGGGTGCGAAGGGAAAGAAGAAAGAAATAGAGCTGAAACAAGATCTTGGAAAGCGCATCATTGGAAAGGACCCATAAATCCTAAACCTGGCTCATGTGCTGGCAAGAACAGCAGTGGACAGGTACTGGGGAATGTGGTATGTTGCTACACGCCTTCATGACCCAGCTCTCCTCAGAGTTCCTGCTGGCAGAAGGTGAGGCAGGCCGAAAAAGAGTCTCGGAATTTTCCAGGATGTCCACATGGGCCAACGCACAGCAACAACTGCGGCAAGGGAGGTGGCCAGGCCCAGCCCTCCGAACCCCTCGTCCTGTGTGAGCAGAAGCTCTGGGAGTCTCAAGATGAGCAGGGTGTGGTCGCGGGCCCTCCCAACTGGGTGTGAGTGCCCAGGAGGACCCTTCAAGGGCAGTGCAGGCAGTGCAGGCAGTGCAGGCACTACCTCCAGCCCGGAGAGAGCATGTGCACAGCGAGCGTGGCCTCGTCGGCTCTGCCTTCTCTTCTGGATGTACAAGCCCAGGGCTCTTGCATGGGTGGATCCAGGCAGTTGTGCGCCTGTTCTCCACCCTTCCTGGGTCATCCTCCGCACACACGATAGCTGAGGACACTCCACTGTCCGCCTCGTCGCTCTCAGCACAAGCACTGCCCAAGTCGCTGCAGCCCAGAGCTCCTGGAGGCCTGGTCCTGGGCCTAGGCCTAGGCCTCCAAGGCTGCCGGCTTTGCCTGCATCCTGTTGGTCCCCGCAGGAGCGGCCGGGCTCGCGGGCCAGGCGGCTGGGCGATCCTGGGCGTGGCCGAGCGGTGGGGAGGAGCCGGGCGGTCTCCAGCGGAGCGCGAGGCCAGGATCTCGTCCAGCCTGCCGCAGGGCTTGCGGCAGGGTAGGCCCGGGACGCCGCGCCGCCCTCGGGCTCCCTTCCCGCGTGGCGCCTGCGCCCCAACCGGTCCAACTGCCGCCCTCCCCGCCTGTTCATTCCAGTAGTGCGTTCTCTTCTGATGCGCAGATGCAACAGGTCACCCGTTCCACACCGTGCACTGAAGAAATCCAGCAAGTTTAGAGACCTGATGGGAATAGCAGAAGTTGAAGCTAGTAGATGGGGGTGGGGGGGGTGGGGGGAGAGTGCGGGCGGGGGACGGGAGCCTAAGGGGCATAAGGGAAAAATAATTTAAAAAAATAGAAAGAACCCTGGAATAATAGACCTTCTCTACATTCTGCACTCAACGAGGCTGTGGACACAAAACTACCTGCATATGCTACCGTGCATTTCTTTGAAGCAAATAATGTGAGATAAGGGAATAAGTAAGCAGAGGTGATTGCCAATCTGGGATTGATTAATTGATCTGGATGGCCTGAAAACAGTGAACATCCACCATATTTAAGAAGGGATTTAGCAGTCTAGAGCAAGCAGGGGCAAGCTTTCTAATCATTACCAGAATGGTCCGTTAATCACTCTGAAAAAAGGAACAGCAGCTTAAAATCTTCCACACAGAAAATAACAGGCCAATTCTCTGGCAGGTTCCACCAAACGTGCAGGTACCATATCATTTTAATATTATACAAAGAATAGAAAGAGAGAAGGCATTCCCCAACTTGTCCTATGAGGCCACATACCATAGTAGTCAGCAAAGTTGATCTATTAGTTATCTACTGGTGCGTAACAAATTATCTCCAAACTTGGCTGGCGTGTGGGTCAATTGCAAAATATTCAATACATTTTAACACAATTCGGAACTAGATGAAGTTACCTGTTATTACTTCTATCTCAACATAGTCTTGAATGAATAAGCCAGACAATTTAATAAGCAGGTATAAATATCAAGATTTTTAAAAATTCTAATAATTATGCAATCGCATGCCTCGAAAACGACAACAAAAATTTTGACGAGGTGGCTACATATAAGACAAATATACCAAAATCAATGGCTTCTCTCCAAGCTAGAAATAAAGCATCCCGAAAATGGAAATGGGGGTGGGAGGCATAGACCATTATCTTGCCCCCGTTAGTTCACTGTGCCAAATAGAGTCAAAATTATAAAATATTAAGAAAACACTTCAATAGGAACAGCAAGGAACTTACGAAAAAGACTAAGCTATTGAAGAAGTAAAAGCTGGTTGAATGTGTGGAAATTAATCAATAAAGGAAACCAACTAAAACTGGAGTCAGGAAGGCCTTACAGGGAGCTCTCCAGTCCTACCACCCACCGTCAATTACCCCAATTAGGGAGAGACCAGCACCTTGCATCTCCAACGAGAAGTTGGCTACTACTTTACTATGCCAGCAGGAGGAAGAAAGAATTTCCTCTTTGGGGACAACAAGCCCAGCCAATGGAAAACGTTACAATGAGGAGTCGTCCGCACCCTGAACTCTCACTCTCCTTGAATTAACTTTCACTTAGAACAGCTCCCGTAACTCCCAGGCCTTCCTGACTCCAATTTTAGTTGGTTTCCTTTATTAATTCATTTCTGAACAAGCACACATCTTTCTTTTCTCTTGTGTTCCCGCCGACTCGTCCCTGTCCTGCCTTCTGGAATCGCACAAAACAAGCCTCCTCTCTCGCCATCAGAGGGTTTTCAAGTCCCTCTGAGTAGTCAGGCCACACACTCTGCTCACCACATCCATTGTCTCAAATCCTTCCTCAAAGGGTTCCACGATTTACTGGTTCCTCTTCTAAATGCCTCCAGAACAGAAGCAAAATCCAAGCCAAGAGAGGACGGCGGGCTTTCCCCAAGAGCCCTCCTAAATCTCCCAGACAGGTGGAGGTCCTGAGTCCACGCTTTTCCGGAGGCCACAATCCTATCTCTTTCTCACTGGTCCCAAGGGGAAACACGCAGAGGGCTAAGGAGCTTCCCGCTAACACTTTCCAGGGCTTGGGACTGGGAAGGTCAAGAACGGGGGCAAAATGCTCACTTGGGAGCGATGGTGCCTCCAGCTGCCAGGACAAACAGTCCAGCTCTGCAGGGGATGCCTAGGATGGAGGAGTCCTTGTGGGAGTCACCACTCATTCATTCATTCATTCATTCATTCATTCAACAAATGCGTGTCGAGTGCCTACTACGTGTCAGGCGCTCTCCTACTTTCTGGGATTACAGACCTGAGAGCAAGCCGGTGTTTGCCTCCACGTTGCTTACGGTCCAATTCAAGGAGACAGATTTTCAAATGAGCCTCTCCCGTGGACCTGGAGGAGCGTAAGGACGGGGGCTTTCGGGAGCTCTGCATGCTCAGGGCGAGGACATCAGCTAATCTGCGCACCCTCAGCAAGCTGTGACCTGCAGTACAACGGTAACCGTGACCATTAGCATAGTCTTCTCCTGTAACAGTCACTGTTCTAAATGCTTTCCACGGATTGACCTCTTCAGCCTCCAAATGATGCTATCAGGTGGAGAGAGTCCTTTCCATTTTACAGATCAGAAAGCGAGGCAGAGGGGCTGGCCCCGTGGCCAAGCGGTTAAGTTCACCCACTCCGCCTCGGCGGCCCAGGGCTTTGCCGGTTGGGATCCTGGGCGCGGACACGGCACCGCTCGTCAGGCCAGGCTGAGGCGGCGTCCCACGTGCCGCAACTAGGAGGACCCACAACTAAAAATATACAACTATGTACCGGGGGACTTTGGGGAGAAAAAGGAAAAACAAAATCTTTAAAAAAAAATAAAAAAGGAAAGTGAAGCAGAGAGAGGTCCACTGACTGGCCCAAGATCCAGCAGGTGGCGGAGCAGGGATCAAACCCAGTGGTGCTCCATGCACCACACCACTGTGCCTCCCCGTGGGAGGGGCGGACCCAGGAGGGAGGGGAGGGACGGTCTCCTAGTCAGGGGGAACAGCCTTTGAGAAGGCTCAGAGGCAAAGGAGGTCTGAGAGGGGTTCAGAGGGGACACTGAGTGACCAGGGCTGGAGAGATGACTTCCAAACAGAGGCACAGGAGAGGCCTCGGGGAAAGATATCACCCATCCCAGTCTGTTCTCCTTTTCTGCCCTCTCACCCTCTCTCCAAATGGATGGGAGGCCCCTTGAGGGCAGGGAAAAGTTCCAAATCACTTTATTACGTAATTATTATATCACCTTCCCTCAGCTGTCCTCCTCACCCCTACTTCAACTGTTGCCGTGATTTCTTGTTGCCATGTTGACGTTCAAACTGGGCCCTCGGAACTGAGCTATGTCAGCGGTGACATCACACAGGATTTACTGGAAGACTCGGAGCTCACTCAGATCCCAACTGCTCACAGAGAGGTTGTGGATCCGGGATCTCCCTGTGGGGCAGCGCCTGTAGCTGCCGACTCACAGACATTGAGGACTCACTCAGAGTCTACGACCCAAGAGAGGCTGAGATTGGGAAGAGGGAGAGAGATCCTTCCGGAGACCATCCTGGGAGTTCACCTCTGCCCCGACAGGATGAATCGGCGGCAATCCGGGAGGAAGAGGCCTATCTCTGAGACCCCAGGTAAGGAGAGGAGGAAAACAGTCTGATGGATGGGAGCTGGGAAGCCAGGGGTCTGATTTCCCCGGACAGATGGCCAGGAGAGCGAAGATGAAGGATTTGGCCAGAGGCCTGAGGCTCACTGAGGCTTTCACTGTGAACGTACTGTGTCATTTAGTAGACAACGAACACATGCGTAACATGAATGACTAAGTGAAGGAGTGAGTGAGTGAACCGAAGGACCCCCTACTGTGAGTCTGAGGGTCTTTCCTCAATTGGCTCAGACTAGAAACTTAACTGTTCAGGCCTGAGCCCTAGGAAGGGCTTGATGGCCACGCGAAGGCAGGAAGCAAGTGAGCCCCTGGGGCAGACGGCGTGGGACTGGGGAGAAGGGGCGAGGGGACTTGTCCCCTTCACTGTCCTCGCATTTTCTACTGAGAGGGAATTAATACATCAGGCGAGGCAGCAAAAACAGTAATCCAGAAGTTATGGAAGGCTGCTGGGTGGTTGGCCCGGTACCCCACGACGACCCCAGAGGTCTCCCTCATTCTGAGCCAGGGCTGGGGCAGAAGGGGGCCTGGGCAGACAGCACTACCCTCAGTCCAAGGCCTTGCCTTCTCCTCCTCTGTCTCCCGTCCACCTCTCCCTAGGGCTCTACGATGTGGCACAGCAAAGCTTCACTTCAGAATCGCATTCTAAATCTCTCCTTAACCTGTGTTTCTGCCAGAAATCCTACAGATCCTAGTTCGGGACCCTTTCCCCAGTCAGTTCCTTTTCCCCTTGCCTCCTCCCCAACTTCCTGACAACTCCCATGTGCTGCTCGCCACAGGCCCAGCTGGTTTCCTCTTCCCTCCTGGTCTTCTGTCTGCTGATTCTGTCCACTGCCCCCTGAGGTCTTCTCCATCTCGGTCCTACCTGAACCCTTCGCTCCCTCCCCCACACACCCCCAAAGCTTGCTTCCATCACTTCCTTTCTGCATCCTGAACTCTCCAAACCAGCCCCGTCCTCAGAAGCATGCACAGACCCTGAGGCTGACGCAGCAAGCCCGCAGATGCCCTCGGTGAGGTTTTCACGTACTCACCACGGAGGTTGGGGGATCAGGGCGCTCAGACACGGACATCTGTTTTCTGCCTTCACACTGAAGGAGCTCATCTCACGAGGAAGTGCTCAGGAGTCAGCTCCGAGCAAGCCTTTTTAAAGGTCTAGTGTTGCTCGGTTAAGGAAGGTTTGAGAAAGAAGGAAACCTGCAAGAGCCTTAACAAAGTCTACAAATTAGTATGTCTGTCAGTGGAATTCCTTCTATCAGTGCCCCCCTAATACCGGGTTGAAAAGAGCTGAGCATTTCTCCCGTTGGCACGCTAACCCTCTAACTAACTATCCTAGCAAATCAACTTCATAGAAAACATCTCCCAGAGGGGTAGCATAGTTGGCATTCAACAAATGTTAGGGGAAAAAAAAGAAAAATTAGCCTGAAGGTCCTACAATTACAAGCAGAAGATCGCAAAGGGTATTGTATTGTCTCCCACGACAGACCTTTGACACAGGGTACCACTGTCATTGGTACCAATGTGCTCGAGGGGACTTGTGTCACCCCCAGCAGTGCAACCAGCACTGGAAGGCTCGGGACCCGGGCCCGCCGGGGCAGGACGAAGATGTGACGAGGTTTCCCAGAGGTGCAGGAGGGTAGCGACGGAGAGGCCCCCAGGGACCCCCGACACAACAGCCTGGGCTCAGAGACCAGGCCCCAGGCCCCAGGCCCCAGAGCTCATGGAACTCCCACTCTGTTCTCAGAGGCCTCAACCCAAGAGGACAGGGCCACACAGCCTACACCATCGGCAAACAGAAGCCGGAGCTCCAGGCCCAGGAAGACCCTCCGACTCCCAGAGACGTGTGTCTCCTCTGCTTCAGCGGAGCGGACCTCCCACTCCTCCAGCTACGGGTCGCCCAAAGAGAAGCAATGGGTGCGGTGCGCCTATTACACCCAAGTGCGCACCGTGAAGGGGGTGGCCGTCGCGTGGCAAACCGAAAGCGGGTTTGCACCCGTGGACGAGAGGCCCCGCGTCTTCGAGGCCGAGCTCTCCCAGGAGAGCACCATCGGCTCTCCCCCGAGCCCGGCTGACACGGAGTCCCTGCTCAGCGACACGGAGCCCTGTGTCCAGGAAGCCGAGGCGCACACCCCTGCGCCGGCCGTCCAGGAGCAGGAGGCGCCGCCCCGCGCGGTCACCCCGGAGTGGCTGGTGACCGGCGAGCACGGCTTCCGCTGCGTGGCCTGCTGCCGCGTGTTCCCGTCCCCGGCCGCCGTGATGGCGCACGCCGAGCGCGGCGTCAAGGAGGGCTTCAGCTGCCGCGTCTTCTATGAGGAGCTGCTGGAGCGCCGGCGGCCCGCGTCTGCGCCGCGCCGGCCCCGACGCTGCCACCTGCTGGCCCAGAGGCGCCTGCTGGCGGCCAAGAGCAGGGAGGTGCGAGCCAAGGAGGAAGCCTGCCTGCGCCTGCAGGCGAGACTGCAAGCACAGAGCCAGGAGCTGAGGCGGCTGCGGAGCGAGCTGGCGTGGCTGCAGAGGCAGGAGGCCTGGCAGAGGCAGGGCCGCGGGGCGCGGCCCCAAGGACCGCGGGGCACGCGCCTGAAGGGCCGCGCTCAGGCCCTGTGACTGCAGAGCAGGGCTGTGGGTGGGATGGGGCCTGTCGGGGAAGACCGCGGGTCAGACCGCTTAGCCACCCCGGGAGACCCTTCGCTCCAGGCTGCGTGGTCCGCATCGCCAACCAAGGGCGTGGAGAGCACCACCCAGAAGGGGTGGATGAAGCGGCCTCGGGACAGCCGACTCTGCACGCCAGGTCAGGCCAGAGGCTCGCCCAGCCAGGAGAAGAGAGGAGAGCCCCATCTAGATGCTGCGGAATTCGGGACCCTGAACATGGCGACCGTGTAAGGCGGGAAAGAAAACGGGACTTCAGGGGGCTCTGGAGGGCTGGGAGAGCGCCTCAGCCAAGGGAGCTCTAAAGGAAGTGTGGTTGAGAAGGGGTGTAGCTGAGTCGTCCGCAGGAGGAGGGAGCAGAAGGAGTCGGGGACGCGGGGAAACAGTCTGTAGGACAGCAATGGGATAAAGCCCCTCAACCCGTCCCTCCGCCTGCCTCCGCTCCCAGCCACGTGCAGGGAGAGACAGGAAGGAGGGCCTGCAAGAGGAGAGGCGGGCTCTTAAAGGAAGCTGAGCTCGCCATCCAAGTCCTCTGGCCTCACTGGGAGAAGCGGGGTTGGAGGGATGTGCCGTTCCCTCTTGGGGGGAGTGGAGGTGGCAGCTGGTGCAGAAAGACTCCATTGGTGCCATCCTTTTCTGCACAACAGGAGATCCAGTTACTGGATGAGTCCTGCAGAGGGTCTCCTAGGGTGCAAGGGAAGCAGCTTGGAAACTTTTTGGCCCCTTTACAACAAACATGCTTTACCCCCCGGTCGTGACACATCCGTGACACTTGCCTGTTCTTTCTTTGTTCTGTGGTATAACCTGACCTATCCTGAGATCAGAGAACTGCAAGAAAACACCTGGCTGAGGATAAAGCAGCCAAAGAGAGGACATTTCCTGTGAACCCTGGAATTATAATGAAGGCAGGGGTGATCCGAGGTGAGGATGGGAAGGGTCAGGTTCATGCCCAGACTCCACGGTGGGCAGAGAAACTAGGGTCAGGGCATCAAGTCCAAGGGCCCGGGAAGCGCTGGGGGTGTCAGGGTGTGTCCATGTCCCTGGGAGCTGAGACGCAGAGTGACACGGGGACCCTCAGGGCACAGGGTGCGTGGGTAGGGTTCCCAGGCCTGGCACATCCATCCACGGGCTGCCCTGTTTGTACTTCTCAGAGGGACAGACATGGCTCCTGAGGGTGACAGGGTCTGAAGTGGAGGGAAGCCAGGGCTTTGAGGCAGGTGCTAATGATGAAGAAGGAAATCCTGTTGATGAGGATTATTTTAGGCTGGTTACTTTTAAAAACTGCAGACGGGAAGGAGCCTCTGAGGAGTGGGATTTGCTTGCCCTTTGATGAGAGACATTTGCATCTGTGAAGGAAGTCTCCACGTGTTGGGGGTGTCTCCCTCTCTGCCCCAGGAGGAAGGAGGGATGACCTTATCTCTAGAGACTCTTAATGGGGACGGCAAGGACTTAAGTCTTGTCTATGGTGCTCGTCTGGTAACCTCACCTAGCTGACTCCTCCCCCCACCCCCACCACCAATAGCCTCCGGGAGGCATAGGACATCCCGACTTAATCCGGTCTGATTCTGACCTAAAGTTATAGGGCCAGCCAATAACCAGACCCCACCTGCACTGATGCCATTTTAACAACTTCTTTTACACGTTCTTTCCTTTGTCTTGGAAAGAGATAAACTCACACACCTATGCCTTCAGTTTAGCCCTACTCTCAACCCATGTTGGCAGCGGCAGCGGCAGCTCCTCCTGCCCGTGGGTCCAGTCCCCACGCAGCAGCTCTGACTGCCCATGGGTCCTGTCCCCATGCCGGCAGCAGCAGCTCTGACTGCCCATTGGGTCCTGTCCCCATGCCGGCAGCAGCAGCTCTGACTGCCCATGGGCCCTGACCCCGTGCTCTTCCATACTATTCTCTCAATCAAAGAGCACTACTGCCAGACCTTGAGAGTCCAAGAAATCTCTCTTTCGACTCCTCGGCTCACCCACCCCGCATCTCTGTGATTCTCAGAGATGCGAGAGTGGAAATGGTCTGGCAATCCCAGTGGGAGGCAGAGGCTGGCTGGGACTTTCCACTGTCCAAGAGATCTTTTGTCCAAAATCTTTTTCTTCCTATAAGTTGCGAAATCCCCCTTAACGACATCTAAGGGTAGTCTTGGAAAATGGCCTCGAATGCACCTGGGTGAGTTTTCCATTAGAACGGTTAGAGGAGTAAGGCGGGAGCACATAGCAGAGAACAAGAATCTTGCAGTGTCTGCGTGTCACTTAATGAATTGCACATGGTGTCCAGCCTTCTTCCTCGCCAGTATACATGTATACTCAGCACACGTTTGAGGGTGGATGCTTTAATCCTCACAGAATACTTTGGTCATTTCTAGGTGTAGAGTCCAGAAGAAGGCATGGTCTCCAAATGGCAAGCAAGAGCTCTGCTGGGTCTGACCCCTGTACAGCTGAGGGTGTGTCTTCATTCAGTGGTCGGACTCTTTGTGTCTGACGTTAAAGATGGGCTCATGCCTATCTTTTCACAATGCAAAATTTAAAAATGCATATCTGTGATGTTCTAACTTAGAGAGGTCTTATATTCTGATTATGATCTGTCTAACTGCAAAGTATTGTAAATCGAAAGTATAATCAGAATCATCCTCTCCTATGTAAATTGCACTCCTCTCCCAAGTTGTCCAGTGTTAAAAGACACACGTGTATCCTTCCCTACATCTCTCTCTGCTCAGAGACTGCTAGATTCTTAATGTTTCTGTCCCTTCAGCATTCACTGTTGGAATCCTAAGCCCCAATGTGATGGAGTTAGGAGATGGGGCGTTTGGGAGGTGACTGGGTCCTGAGGGTGGTGCCCCCATGACTGGGACTAGTGCCCTTATAGAAGAGACCCCGCAGAGTTCCCCAGCCCCTTCCACCATGTGAGGATACAAGAGTGTGACCCCGATAGGGCCCTCGCCTCTCCATGCTGGTAACCTGATCTTGGACTTCCAACCTCCAGGACTGTGAGAAATCAACTCCTATTGTTTATCAGCCAACCTAAGCTGTGGTATTTTGTTGTAGCAGCCCAAATGGACTAAGACAGACACACATATACAGTCCCAGGTACACGGGGAGGTCTGTCTGTTTCTTTGCTTTTCCAAAAATGACATCACACTTGGCCCACATTGTTCTGTGCCATTTTTCACTTGACAATCTATGATGGATTCCTGTTAGTCATCAGATACAGCTAACCCTGTCTTTTTGGTTCTTCTTATTTTGACTCATGTTTACTCTTCATGATTTTGAATTATAGTATACATTATATACACTGATATATAACTATAGAATGGAAATACATTTCATTATGCTAGTTCTTTAAACAGTGTCCCTTCTGCATGTTCTCACTCATTGTCATAGTTGCAGAAGTGTGCCCAGAGAATTCTAACAGTTTAATAAGTAGACTACTTTATTATCCTTGCTTAAGCAATCATACACATACAAACATACGCATCTACTTCTTTATGCATGTGTCTATAGGTTTTCCAGTATACTCAGATATTTGTTATTGTTTTACCGAGACGGGCTCATTTCCTACATACTAATTTGCCCCTTTTTCTGCTCCTCCCTCCCTCCTCCAGTGGAATGTCGGTGCAATGCCCTCCATCAGCAAAGGTCTCAAGGACAGAGTTTAAGAGAAAGCAAAGCATTTCCCACCAACTCCTTACCTGAGAGCGTCTTCGTGAGAATTCATGGCACACATGTCTCAGGACAGAGTAGATGCTGCCTTCTTTACCTTTTCCCTCCTCAAGAAGCAGGAGCCAATGCCAAGAGGTCAGGGCTCATGTCTCCGTACTTCTCACGCCTCTTGTTGTCCCAATTCTCACTCGAGTCGTAAAACTGGGAGTCAAGCAACCAGTTGTGACAAGATGAACCCAGGAAGTACTCCTCGGCTGGGATGCCTTCAAAGACCGATTATCCGAGTCCTAAGACCAGCTGATGACCTGGGAAACTAAGGTGATTGGTCCTCTACCTGCAGGAAGAACAGACTGGGCTGAGGCAAGTCCTCCTTGACCCATCAGGCACCCCAAGAGGTTTTGGAGGCTCCTTCATATCATAAGTCAAAAGGCACTTCCAATCCAGTGGTAAAAGCATGGGGAAAAAGACGTTCTCCTTTGAAAGCGGAAACGGGCCCAGGACTCACTAGTGGAATGCGCTTCACCTCGGGCCAGCTTTTCAAGTTAGTGTCAGTCTGTCCCTGGTCGCCTGCACAACCAGGCTTTCCTAACCTTTCACCTCTCTCCTTCCCAGTGTCCTGTGGCCTCTGCCAGTCTTAAGGTGATAGTTGAAACAGCTGCTTGCCCACGTCCGTGGTGGCGGATTCTCAGAGTGCCAAGCACAAACCAACAGTGCCCTTAGGTGTCCTTTAACGGAAAAGCTGCTACAAAGACCACAATGCCCAGAATAATCCTGAGACCCTGATGAGGAGGAAGTGGAGTAGAGGTGGGTCTTTGACTGTTGGGAGTTCTCAGGGCTCAGGGGCTCCAAGTCACCAGGGTCATGCCCATTGCTGGAAATCTTTAGGGGGTTTGCAACTCCCACAAAGCCTTCTCCATGCTAGGCATCCCCTGCAGAGCTGGACTGTTTGTCCTGGCAGCTGGAGGCACCATTGCTCCCAAGTGAGCATTTTGCCCCCGTTCTTGACCTTCCCAGTCCCAAGCCCTGGAAAGTGTTAGCGGAAAGCTCCTTAGCCCTCTGCGTGTTTCCCCTTGGCACCAGTGAGAAAGAGATAGGATTGTGGCCTCCGAAAAAGGGTGGACTCAGGACCTCCACCTGTCTGGGAGATTTAGGAGGGCTCTTGGGGAAAGCCCGCCGTCCTCTCTTGGCTTGGATTTTGCTTCTGTTCTGGAGGCATTTAGAAGAGGAACCAGTAAATCGTGGAACCCTTTGAGGAAGGATTTGAGACAATGGATGTGGTGAGCAGAGAGTGTGGCCTGACTACTCAGAGGGACTTGAAAACTCTCTGATGGCGAGAGAGGAGGCTTGTTTTGTGCGATTCCAGAAGGCAGGACAGGGACGAGTCGGCAGAAACACAATAGAATAAAAGATGTGTGCTTGTTCAGAAATGTAACAAAAATGCCCCAATATCCTCATCCTATCTCCTCAGACTTTTCTCTCTCCAGGCCACCATCCCACCCTCATCTGTACAGTGCCCTCCGGAGAGCATGTGGGGTTTATTGAATGCACTCGGCCATTTCCCATCTCCTCATCCCGCTCAATTTCGTTCCAGTATCACTTCCTGTTTGAATTCCTCCCTGACCAACCCCTGGTGGAATTTCCCACCCCCTGCTGTGTGTCCTACTGTATTCAAGGAGCGCTTTGGTATAGCTTAGAACGCACATGATTGTGTTTTCTTGTGGTGATTGATTATGAAAATGGCCACACATTCTTCCTGTCTCTGCATCCACATCCCTATGTGATAACTTTGCACTACCTTTCTCCAAGGGCAGGATTCTTTCTCCATTCCTTGAATAAAGGCTGGTCTTATGATTCCTTTGGTTATTGAGACAGCATAAAACCTGATTCAAGCAGAGACGTGAAATGGTCTTACACGTTGGTCTTGCCATCTTGACCTTTTTCAAACCCTGAGAACCCGTGAGATTGAGCCCAAGCCAGCCTCCCGGATGATGAGCCGCCCTGTAGAGATGGATCTCACTGCAGCTGCTGAGTTGACTTTTGAGCAACTGGCCCGCTGCTGACCCGGCAGCTGATGGCAGATACACGAGCAAGTCCAGCAGAGAGCAGCTGAGCATGGCACAGCCCAGGAGATCCCCAAATTGCCAACCTGCAAAATCATGAGCTAATTAAATACTTGTTGTCTTAAGCCACTGCATTTTGTTGTTTTGTTACACAGCAGTAGGTAACTGATACCCTTGTCAACTTTGCTATTTCTCTTCTCAGACAGTGAGGAACCTCACCCCCCTTTTTTTTGAGGAAGGTTAGCCCTGAGCTAACATCTGCCACCACTCCTCCTGTTTTTGCTGAGGAAGACTGGCCCTGAGCTAACATCCGTGCCCACCTTCCCCTACTTTATATGTGGGACGCCTGCCACAGCATGGCTTGACAAGTGGTGCATAGATCCACACCCGGGATCTGAACTGGTGAACCCTGGGCCACCAAAGCGGAACGTGCGGACTTGACTGCTGCACCACCAGGCCAGCCCCTGAGGGACCTTTTCTTAGTCATTTTTGAATCAAGAACAGAGGTCTTAGGGTCTGATATGTAGCCATTATAGATAGATCTACAGATGAATGAATCATATGTATATGTAAGTGTATATGTAAGTATGAATTTGTGCATAAACGAATGTTCATAAAACTATCTTATATATGATTTTTGTTTTTGGGGGGTTTTGGGGGTTTTTTTTGGTGAGGAAGATTGGCCCTGAGCTAACATCTGTTGCCAATCTTCCTCTTTCTGCTTGAGGACGATTGTCTCTGAGCTAACATCTACACCAATCTTCCTCTGTTTTGCATGTGGGTCGCCACCACAGCACGGCTTGACAGGTGGTGTAGGTCCGTGCCCAGGATCTGAACCGGTGAACCCCAGGCTGCTGAAGTGGAGCACACGAATTTAACCACCACGCCATGGGTCCGGCTTTTTATGACATTTTTTTAAATAAACTAAATTCTACCTCAGACGCTCTGCTTCCCAAACTGAGGAAAAATTAACCTTAAATTTTCTTAGGGTGTCACCCCCAGACTTGTGCAATGATGTCCAGGGTCTAATGAAGGAGCGAGGCATCGGAGACGAGCCTCAGCACAGCCACTGTCCCATCCTGTGTGGTGTCTCTAGAAGCATTGGCTGTGTGTTCCATCTCGGCTGGAGCACGAGCCCCCTGCCAGGGCAGAGGCCCACATTCAGGTTTGCCCCAGGTGCCTTCATTTCTCTCCCAGGTGCTGCCGCCTACTTCAGGGCACTGGCAAGAAGCAGGCCCGCCCTCTGCAATGTCTAGAACTCTCCTCTCCCACTGCCTCACCTCCCCCTCAGCCTCCAGTTCACTGCGTGTCATCACTTTCGTGAGCTGAGGTTTGGGGGCAGACCCCCAGAGCCATGTGCTTTTGGCAGCATCTGACTTGCAGAGCCCAGTACCTCCTTGAAATGAGATATGAGAAGAAGAAAAATAGAGGAAGATTTTACCTGAATTTTAAGGTCTCAGTGATTATCTTTCCATGCACGTTCAGTGGGCCCTGCAGAAAAGTCCCTTCAGGCCTTTTCCAAGTTGCAGGATGATGGAAACAGAAATTTCAATTGTGTCAATATCTGCAGAGAGGCATGCAAAGAGCAGTGGCGGCTCCAGGTGAAGCTCCTGGATTTGCCCCCATCCATCTCCCTTGGCATCTTCAGCAGCACACATCCGCAATCCCTGGAAGTCACTAGAAGTGTCAGTGAGTCCTTCGCGTCTCTCCTCAGAGCGTCTTTCAAATCGCCCAAGCAGTAAATGCTTTATGCCCACTGTCAGTTGCCTGATTAGGTGTTAAAAAAAAAAAAGATATCTGATAGGGCAGCAGGTAGAACCAATAAAATCAAACTGAAATCTCTTCCTCTTATTTTTGAGTTCACAGAGTCCCTTTGAGATAGTTTACTTTGCACAGGTTCATAGTGAAGAGAAGAGACCTTAGGAACAATAGATCCCTCGCTGCTGTTATGTTGTAAATGCGCTGTGTTGCTTGGGTATGCTTCCCGCCCATAAGTGGGAGATTGACGAGGACAGAAGCTTGCCTCTTCTGTTATCAGTGTATCTCTGGTGCGCTGGGCAGTGCCTGGCTCCTGAGTAGGAAACGCCAGAAAATATGTGTTGAATGAATGAATGAGTGTTGGTGAGTTTGTTAACTTTGCCTTGCTCTCTTTATTTACATCAGTGAAAATAGAGATTACTATTCATCCAATTCAGGATTAAATAAGATGAGAAGAGAGCTTGTATAACGAAGTGATAGGAAAAACAAATAAGACTTTCTGTCTGCGCAATTGAATGTATCCCTTGTCACTTTGCTTTGGAGGGAGACACCCGGCATCTTGCACACACATTGTAGGGTGTGAAAGCCCTGAGGTCCATTGGTCTGGCTTTGTGTAGAAATGCAGAAAGTGATTCAATCGAAAAGGAAATCCTGCTCTAGTTCAAGCATTACCTTTTAGAAATTTTTTAAGTGGGTAAACAATATCTGAAAGTAGCATAATTTCCATGTTTTCTTACTTCCAATTTTGGGAAAGAGGAGAGCCTGGGAGGCCGATTTAGTGTTTTGAAAATTTAGCCGATTTGGAATAGCTAAAGAGAGGGCACACATTTTTACTCTCTGTTGTCATTGATTGAGTGTTCATGACATAGGCCGCCATGTTGCACAACTCCAGGGGTTGCCATTTACATCACAGTTCATGCAAATAATACTTCCTGGGGCTGTCCAGTGCACAGCCTTCACAAATGCATTTAGTGCCCTACTGACAGTGTGTCAGACAAAGTCCTTTGTCTGTATATTCAATTTTATTCTCCATGCCACTCTTTGAAGTAAGGGTGATTTAGAGAACAGCGGACTGTGACTTAGGTTAGATGACTTGTTGAAGGCCACAAATTAATCATTGCAATCCTCCAAACTTTCCAGCCTTCATCAGTGTCATTATGCCACCAAATTATCCGGAAGGGACTCTGGGAATTGATTAGTCCTGCCACCCTATATTTGGTGCATATTTTGCCTCAGGCCACATTAGTTAGTTCTCGTGATTCCTTACTCATGCTCCTGTCCTGACAACATGCCACGAGGCTAAGAAATCCTACTGAAGATTCAGACTTGAGTGAAAGCAGTGCAGATTCCACTGAGAGCACTGATTCCCACTCACAGGAACCTGAGGCCTGAATTCACATTCCGTCACCTGATCCCTCCAGGAGGTTTGGCTTGTTCCTCCAAGATGCTGCTTCTCCCTAAGCCTCCATCTCAAGCCTAGAGGCAGTAAAGGAGACGGTGAGTAAGGAGGGGGGCATCGACGTCCTGATGTCCTGTGCAGGTAAACGAGTTTGTGTGTCAGTTCCATGTTGAGTGAGGACAGAGGTGCAGGGAAGCGTGCATGATGCCATCTCATTCCTAGAAAGCAAGGATCCCCAATCCGATTTCACTCACGCATATGAGAGAAAGACAGACAAGGAGAGAGAGGAATGGAAAAATACATATTAGGTTCTTAAACTAACTTGGGGATAGGGATGGAGGCAGAGACAGGGGAGAGACCGAAGAGAAGCAGGGGAGGGGTGAGCAACACAAAATGAGAATTTAAATGAGCACTTAAAATGGTGTCCTCGGGAAATGCAGCGTACTCTCATTTGTGTAAACTATAATGCGTGTGTGTAGAAGATGTACAAAAGGATGATGACAGAAAAGGTAATAGTGACTTTCTCAGGAGGTCTGATTTCAGAGAATTTCATTTTTTCTTCATACTGTTTGTATTTTTAAAAATTTTTGCCCCCCGAAACATGTATTATTTATATAATCTGGGGGTGGGGGGGGGATGACAAAAAAATCTTTTCACCATGGAAATGAAAGAACCTTTTCATCACTTTATCTGCCTTATATATTGTAGTGCTACACAACGTTTTATTTGAAAACAGTTCTGCAAAGCACTACTCTAGACAATACGGCCTTCCTCCCCCACCCCCCAGCCCGTGAAATTCCAGAAGAGTAGACTGGTATCTCCTCAGCTAAAAAAAAAAAAAAAAAAAAAAAATGAGATTTGCAAAAATGAATAATGAGCAAAACGTTTGTTGAGTTAAAACACATTGCAAAGCATAATTTATAGGACAGGCTAAAACTGACAACCACAGGCCACATGCAGCTCATGAATGATTTTATTAGGCTCACACAAGTGTTCAAAAAGTGAGTCAGTTAACAACATACAAAATCAGGAGTTTTTTTAAAATCAAGAAGCCAGATTTCTTTTACAAAACCCAGACTCCTGACAACAGTGGGCCCACGCTCCCGCATGAAAAAATCATGCAGATCCCAGTGGTGGCTGTGCCCTCCGGCTGGGACTCATACTCTCCCACCTGGGTCCTTCATCATGTCACCTGCCTGGCATCTGCCATCCTTGTAAGTGGCTACCCTGATTTACCATGATACAAGGGACAGGGAAGGTCAGAAAGTGACCCTGGGGCTCACTCTGATTGCTCAGGCAATGAGCTCACTAGGACGAGGATAGAGGGCTTCAGCTTCCCGCGGGGCCTAAGATTTCCAGGTTCTTGGAGCCACATCATCAGGCAACTGCTCCAGCAGCTGCCCCCAAATCCACACTGCTGGTCCACGCGGTTTGTGTGGCCTCCTCTGGCAAGGCTGCTTGTCTGCCTGACAAGAGCGGCCAGCACTGTCCTGTGGAACACACCCCCACAGGCAGAGTGCCTTGCTCAGCACCATGGGAGCCAGGGGAGCACAGAGCAGCCTCAACCTCCTCTCCATGAACCTACCTTTATAAGCTCCTCCTTCCCACAATAAAGCCCGTGCTTGAGCCTATACCAGGTGACTTGGAATTCATTTGAGGCCCTGCTGCCAAACCACTGCAGTGTTGGTCTCACCACCCCTCCTCCTTTGCGAATTAGTTTCCTCTCAGCCAGGAGAAGTTCAGGCAACAGCTATGTTCTGGTTGTGCCCTGGTCCTCAGCTTATTTGATCATCCTTCTGCATTATTCTTCTTCCGCCTGTGTTATCTGCTCCTGCTCCCCAAGCTGATATGTGCCGGTGGTGTCAGAACTGACAGTCTGGTTCCAGAACATTCTCAGCCTTTCGGTCTGCATGTGTCCTAAGCACGATCCCAGGAACAGAAACCCTCAGCCTTCACTGTGCAGTTCCC